CCGCTCCCCCCCCCCTTTGTTGCACAGTCTCATGTTTCTCTCTCCTTTGCCCAACCATGGCACCCTTTCCTAGCTCACTATTCTATCAGCCTCTTTCTTTATATCCCACATTTTCCCCAAGAGCTGGATTTGAGGTGACTTAAAGATTAAGAAGAGATATAAATAAAGTGAAATATATCTAAAAATATACAAAACACTAAGATTAAACTAATGTTAAACTGTTGTGCTTTCCCACACTGCACCAACTGATCAACATAGCATGCATTCAAGCATTAAATGCATGTAGTCAAGTCTCTACATTCAAATCTAAAGTTGAGTCTCAAGTTCTTGCAAGATACTCTCAAGTCTCAAGTCTGGCAGCCAACAGAAAAAAAAGGTTGTGGCAGCAGGGTGTGTGTGTGGGGGGGAGTTTCAATAACTGGACTATCAGGAAGATGTGCACAAAGCTAGGTTAAAAATGCTAGGAAGGGAACAACAAACATGTTAGGTAATGGGCTTGAAGTAGAAGGATCTTTCTAAAACTTTCCAGAAGCTTAAAGTCTTATTTGATGTGCAGCTAGGAGAGACTGCTGAGTAGACCTCAAACCCCACTTCAAGTCTATTTCCTAATGGGTTTACAGTTTCTGGATGAAGTTAGGCAGCAAATCAGTCGGTAAAAATATACATTGTGAGTGAAATCAGTGCCTCATCTATTGCAGAGTCAAGTACAAGGAGCTTATTGAATGCCCTAAAGAGGCATTTTACCTCTTCCAGCTTCAATCCTTGGTCAAGGATACATCCAGATATTATCGGACATAATTCACCACCAATCCTGCCATGATGCCACCATCTGAATGCAGCCCAGGTCCAAGGACCTCTCAGCTGGCCAATTTCTCAAGTTGGAAAACTCCAGTTTCCAAAAAAGTGCTGGCTGAGCACAGCTTCGAGCAGGGCTGCATTCAGCTGGCATCATCACAGGAGAATCGGTGGCAAATTAAGTCTGATAACTTCCAGCTATATCCCAAATCAAGGATTGAAGCTGGAAGAGATAAAAAGCCTCTTTAGGGCATGTGATAAGCTTCCAAGGTGACTTGAGTCTAAATCAATTGACTCAAGTCTACATCACTGATAGCAACTTGTCCAGGATCACCTTGCAGCCTGAGTATCAGACATGCCCTGTTTCCACAACATGGACATGGACTCTGACTAAGATACTAAGATACTAAGATACTAAGTAGTGGACATGCTGGGAGTAGCTGCTGAACCAGAGAAGGAAAAGGTTCCCAAGATCCATGTCTCAGAGATAGACCAGAATGTAGTACCAGCACTGACAGAGTCCTGCCTATTCAGATATAGAAGACCACTTACCCCTACCTGATGTCTTTGCTGAGCAGAGACAACAAAAGGAAGGGCCTGAGGAGGTCTCAAAGAATTTATAGGTAGCAGCAATTAATTAAGCAGCAGATGTGTTGAGCTGCTGATCTATACATCCCTAGCCCAGCCCTCCAGGAGTTGTCAGAAATTATCTGACCTGTCTAGCTCCCTGTTGTGATTCTGAACTCTCTGCTTGGCCTGTTGACTCTGGATGCCATATACCTGACTTGGATATTGTTGAACAGTAAGCTACTCTGTAACTGTGCTTGCTCTCATTAGCTGTGTAGCAGTCAGCCTTTGGTTCATTGCCTGAACTGTGTTTGGGACAGTGCCTGATCCAGGGAGGGACTGTAAGGGTAAAAAGGCAGCATGAGTGGCAGATGCCCAAGGCTTGGGACTGTTAGGCCAGACTGGGGGAAGATTTGGTTGCACTCTTGAAACCTCCAAAAACCCCTATCAGTCAGTGCTAGGCAAGACTGGGCCAACTGTCTGACAGTAGAAACCCCTGATGTTAATGGACTACTGCTTTCATCATCCCTTTCCACTGTCCAGGCATACAAGTGTTGATCAGAACAAGATGAGGCCTCACAGTCCTGCCCTAATGATAGTCTCCTCGAGTATTCTTTTAAAATTAAATAGCCTGCTTGTCTACAGTCTTCATTCCAACTTCCAAACAAAACCCCGCTGTTTTGAATAGACGATAATGGGCCAGTTGTCCTCTGAGCCTGAGAAGAAATATTGACCAATTTCTGCATCTCTCTCTTCCTCCCTTAATATTTGATCTCATGGATTCCTATGTCTCTTTCAAAAAATGTGATTAAATCACAGAATGCTGCAACCCTGAGCAGTGAATAGGATGTATTCTAGGATGCTGTTTTATTTCCTTTTTTGTAAAGGCGAAATAACAACAATAAAGCTGTGATGAAAGCAAACAATCATCCCAAGGATGGACTGGGCCTGGAACAAAGGACCAACTGAAAGGAAAGGAGAAAAAAGTCCCGTAACTCTTAAAAGGAAAGAAGGATTTCTTTATGCATTAGCTGAAGAATGTTTACACAGTATTTGGCTGAAAACTTGCTTGCTGCTACCACCTACCTGGCACTGCTGAATCATACACTTGAGTACAATTTATATAGCAGAGCCAAGGTTCAGTTAACTAAATGGTATATTTTCTTTTTACCCTTATCAGCATACCAATGTTTTGCTACAAAAATGACTGAGCTGTTCCATCTAGCTCAGCTGTCCCATCAGTGGCCAGAATTTGGAAAGTTCCTTTTTCCAAAATAGTTGGTGGCAGTTAAAAGGCCACAAAAACAGCCAATTACCGTTAGAGTTGCAGAAAAGCAACTCTTTCTGTTCTTGTAAAGGAATATTGTCACACCTTTAGGCAGCATCGGCTTTCATAGACTTGAACCCTCACATGAATACTGTATCCAGTTCAAAAAGGATGTTGACAAGCTGGATCATCTCCAGTGGAGGGTGACCAAAATGGTGAAAGGTGTGGAAACCATTTGAGAACCAGTGTGGTATAGTGGTTTTGAGTATTGAATTATTACTCTGAAGACCAGGGTTCGATTCCCAGCTCAGCCATGAAATCCACTGGGTGACCTTGGGCATTCTTTCATTTTCTCAGCCTCCAGGAAAGGCAATAGCAATGCTCCTCTAAACAAATCTTTCCAAGAAAACTCCTTAGGGTTGCCATAAGTCAGAAATGACTTGAAGGCACACAGCAAAAACAACAATGGAAACCATGCCTTGTGAGGAGCAACCTAGGGAGATGGGTATGTTTAGCCTGGAGAAGAGAAGGGTAAGAGGTGATATGACAGCCCTGCTCAAATATTTGAAGGGATGTCATAGTGAAGATGGAGCAAGCTTATTTTCTGCAGCTCCAGAATATAGGGTACAGAGCAATGTATTCAAATACAGAAAAAGAGATTCCACTTCAGCATTGGAGAACGTCCTGACAGTAAGAGCTGTTTGACAGTGGAATACACTGCCTCAGAGTGTGGTGGAGTCTCCTTCTTTGGAGATTTTTAAATGGCTGGCCATCTGTCAGGGTGCTTTAATTGTGTATTCCTGCATGGCAAGGGATTTGGACTGGATGGTATTGTAATGGTATTGCATTGTTTTATTGTTGTATTACTCCTTGCTTTCCATATGTGTGTACATTATATTGTACACATTTGGTAAGACACCTTTGTTTCACTTGTAAAGTGCCATGAACATTGTTGTTATTGTGTACCTTCATCATTTCTGACTTGTGCTGCCCCTAAGGCAACCCTACCACAAGGTTTTCTTGGTAGAAATTGTTCAGAGGGGGATTGCCCTTGCCTTCCTCTGAAGCTGAGAGAGTGTGACTTGCTCAAGGACACCCGGTGGGTTTCCATGATCAAGCACCGATTGGAACCCTATTCTCCTTGTGTCTTAGTCCAACATTCAAACCACTACACCATGCTGTCTCTTTATACACAGATGATGATGATGATGATGATCATCATCATCATCATCATCATCATCGTAAAAATATCTGTGAGAATGGAGGAGAGAGGAAAAAAGAGAACTTCTTGGGAATAAAAGGAGAGAGCTATCAATTGAGATACATGAATGTACAAAATAGCCCTAATTTATGAAATTTCTGTAAGCAAGAAATAATAAGAAAGAATGGTTTAAGTGGGAAGAACTATAGAACTTCCTCCAGATCTGTTTGTTAAGACCTAAGGGGATGCAATTTCACATTTTGAAAACCCAGGAAAAATTAAAATCATATTTCTCACTAGTAAATGTCTGGTTATGACTAATGCAAGTACAGCTAAGGCTATAAGAAGAGAAAGCAAAGATTAATGGCAGCTCTTATAAATTTGTTGCTTACATTATTGAAAAGATCATGCCTTCCCAGGCAAGAAAAAGGGCACAAATTAAAGAGTCAGAGTTCAGAGTGGGAAATAAAAATGATCCACATGAGACTGAGTCTGAGAACGAAGCACACAGATTGAATGGGACAAATTTGCACAATGGAAATGCAAGCTTAGATTCTCAAATATTAAATTGCTTTGCAAATGGCATTTTAAAAATATGGTTTATAATTTGGTCTTGCTTGAAGTGTGTGTGTGTATGAGAGAGAGAGAGAGAGAGACTGAAAGAGAAGAGAGAGATGTAAAGGGTGTGAGAGAAAAAGGAGCAAACATATCCCAATGTCATATTGAATCCTAGTATGCAAGGGGAGGCCATAAGTGTGTTCAAAACTAGTCCTACATGTATACATCCTTGTTGTTGTATGCCTTCCAGTCATTTCTGATTTATGGCAACCTAAAGCAATCCTATCATAAGGTTTTCTTGTATACGTCCTTCCAGAAAGGACTTACTGCATTGCACGTCCACCACAGGTAGTAGAGCCTTGCTTCTTTTTGTTGGCATCTCCAACACTTACCAATTTCTTCTTTGTTTTGTTTAGCTGATTTTGCCAATTTATAAGGATATAGATGCCACCTATACATTACTTTATAGAAATTTTCAATCAAATGAGCACTTTTTGTAAATTTTACATTATTTTTCCATGTTTTTTCTCAAGTTTCTAAATCAATATTTCATTTATGTCTTGCATCCATTTGATTGTGCATCTTTAACACATTCCGTCTTGCATCCATTTGATTGTGCATTCTTTAACACATTCCTCTTTTAATTCTATCTCTAATAGGTATTTA